GTAATTGACGAACCTCAGCTCTAGAGCTGAAAATTTTGTCTTTGTAACTGGCGAACTTCAGCTCTAGAGCTGAAGTTTTTGTTTTGTTATTGGCGAACATCAGCTCTAGAGCTGAAGTTTGTTTTTGTAACTGGCGAACTGCAGCTCTAGAGCTGAAGTTTTTATTTCAAAACAACGCACCTTTCTCCTAATTTCATTAGTTCCACTCAAAAGCCAAACCAACCACCCCACACTTTAACTTTTACACAGTTCATAACAATTCAAGTGCTCATGAGAGGCTAAAAGGTTCAAATAGATGATTAATTCAAATAAATGGGTAAGGCTTATAATGTGGTTGCAAAAGAAACAAGATTACAGGCTCAAAAGGGTTAACTACGATATATAACATTTAGGTGGGTAAAATATACATATCTGGCTCAACAAAGAAACGCCTGTATCACTTCCAAGACCGAACAAAACTACTATTTCGCTTTGCAAACACACAGGGCAAGTTCTAGGCATCAAATGCAATGCACTGAATAACACCCAAACCTCACACACACGGCACATAACTCACTTAGGATTGGATTCATCAAGACCCTCTAGTCAAAGCAGTTAAGCAAATTTAAACTCATACAATTTAAGGTACTTATGAAAGAGTCAAAAATTGAGCCTAAGCGTCCCAACCAAAGTACTCACTATTCTCAAGGCATAACAAAGTCAAGAGATATTGTTTAATTCAAAACACAACACAATGGCTCCTATTCCTAAAAAAAACTAACTACACCCGATTCAAATAAAACCCTTGGAAAAGAACCGTGATTTAAAGAAAAACCAAGGGGTAATTGTTATACTACCTAACAAAAGAAAATCTTTTTATTTTTTTCCTTTAGACTTAAATCCCTCAAGAAAATTGTCTAATAGATCCATCGTCGGGAAAAGTCCAATCTTTTAAAAAAAAATACTATTTAATTAAACTAACACAGCTAAAGTAGCATAGAAAGTCACCCAGACAATCTCCTCACCCCACACTTAAAATTGTGCATTGTCCCCAACGCACACCATAACTAATAAAAGGGTAAAAGAGATTCCCTGGTAGGCCAAAGGTCGAAGCACTAACAGCTCATGGGGTACTCAAACTTCTCCCAAGTTTGGTCCTTCCAATGGATTTGCATTCCATGCTCCTAAAAAATAAAAAATCAATACTACAAAAATAATACGATTAGAAAAAAAAACAAAAACAAAATAAAATAAAATAAAATAAAGCAATAAAGCTGGGTTTACTCCCAACAAGCGCTCGATTTAACGTCGCGGCACGACGCGAATCACTTTTTGCCTCCACCTCGAGCTTATGAATTGAACCCCCAATTTGGCGTCAAGTTTTCGGCTATGCTCCAAAGGTGGAGAAATAAATCTAATTGGCCCAAGCAACCATTGTACTATTTTACACTTCTTGGCTTTTAGATGAGGCATGTAGTCTTGTCTTTCTAGCAAGAAAAACTCCAGACTGTAGGCACCTTGTTCCTCATTCCTTGACTTCTCAATCGGCTCAGATGGCTCTATTTCCATATCATCATCCAAGCCCAATGTGGAAAAATGTTTGGAGTGAGGACCAAGGCGCTCGAACACATGAACTTCAGAACTTTCAACATCCTCAACATCAATGATACTAGAGTCAACAAAATTTGTATCCTCAAAGTCCTTGACTGACTCTAGTCTCACTTCTTCAACATCGATATCCTCAAATTGTAGTTGGCTAGGTTGTTGATGTTCTACTCTGACCTCCTTAATTAACACCTCACATTCATGCTCTTCTTGGCTACTATCCTCAATATTGGCTTGTTGAGCATTAAAAGCTCCAACCACTTGACTCAATTGAGCCTCCAATTTGCGAATAGTTGCCTCTTGCCTTTCTATCTGCAATTGTTTCTCATTATTTTGTTCCAGAAGGCACTTTAACATATCCTTGATCTCCTTCAGGTCCGCATCTCCAGGTTCTTTGTTCCTGTTAACTTCACAAGAAAAGCTAGAACCATCATAGTAAGGGGTTGGGGGAAGATAAGAAATATAAGTACAACCATAAAAGTGATCATTTTTACCACCACACACATCACACACATTCCACAAATAAGATTAAGTTGGTGCACATAACTCGCTCTTAGGAACGTTTTGAAACTTTTGCCACGGGTGGTTTCCTTCACAATATGTATGGAGATTAATAGTAAAATTATCTACACCTAAATTCTCATAATTCCAAGATGTCATGCTTCTCAAATCAACAGTTATAGTAAAATAAAAAAAAACAAAAAGAACCAAAAAAAAAAACAAAATACAAGTTCAAACTCGCAACCTAGCAATATATACAGCTACAACTACACCGTTAGTTCCCCGACAACGGCGCCAAAATTTGATCACGCCCAACTCTAGTCCTAAAAAGGATAAGCGGTTGCTGCAAATATAATTCGGTCTAAAAGTCCGGAGTCGAATCCCACAGAGAACTAAGGCTTAGGTATATCTGTTTAATATCACTAAAAAGACAAGTTTGAACAATTTTTTAAATTATAAAGATTGAGATTTATTTTTCTAACTAATTAACTAGCAAATACTAGAAAGCGGTAAAATTATCAACTAACGAGACAAAGGGTTGGAGACTAAATTAAGGAGGTCTAGAGTTATGATTTTCCCAATTGTCGGCATCCTTCTAGCTATGTTCCCTACAATTTCGCCAATGTATTCTCTGCTGATCGTGAGCACTTTAGGTGCCGTAATTCTCTCTCGAGCAACTACAATAATTTACTAGACATATTCTCTCGAACTACGCTAGTTGTCTTTATCTAACCGCTCATTATGACCACGTCAAGGCTTTGTTATTTCTAAACCTGCCTTTAAACCCACTGTATTGATTTCTCACATACGTTAGGAGTGACGTTGTTCAACAACTACCTAAATATGTACTCTCTCTCGAGCAGTACACATTAAATAGGCACAGTTAATTGATGGCCATTCAATCAACAACAACAAACACGTAGTTGAACAAGTAGAGAAATTCAACGGCTCAATTATATAAAAACATAACAAGAATTTATCCTACAAAAGGTTCCATCAAAACCCTAGATAACAAATTAGCTATTCATAATAATATGTAAAATTACAATACTAAAATTCATAACCAACAATGAAAAATAGGAAGAAGAAGGAAAAACTCGTAGAAGAATTCCCCGCCTTGCTCCTATTGTGTCTCTGCCTCCTTAGGTCGAATTTGTGTCAAAAATTGGTCTCCTTTACTCAAAAATACCCTTTTTTCATGTATATATACCAAGTAGGATCGGGCCCAAACTATTATACCTTCTCCTACGCGAAAAAGGATAATTTTTCACGTTTGGATGGCCGCGGCCGCAGTCAACCGCGGTACCAACGCGGTATTTGGCAAGTATACTGCCTCAGCCCGCCTCAGGTCCGCGGTTGCGGTTTCCACCGTATTTTTCACCCTGTTCTGTTTCGAATTTGGAAAAACGTAAAACATGAAAGTTGTAGAGCTTTGAGTTACCTTTCCAACCATATATTTTGGAGCCCAATTGGAATTCTGAGCGAAATGTTATGTTCATTTTACTAGACAGTGCCTAATATGCCTACTCGATTCTTCGTTTTGTTGCTCTATCATCCGTTGATCCCCGAATACGATCCCGGCTTAATTCCTTGGGCTTTTACTCAGACTTCAAAGCTCCAAATTACTTGAATTCATTCCATAACATCTATATAGCTCGGAATCACTCCTACATGGCATAAAACACATAATTAGTGCAAACCACTAGCGATTAAAGGGCAAACTCAACTAAACTATAGTAATTTAAAGTATAATAATCGATTAAAATACGTAATTATAGCATATCATCAAAAATCATGGCTTGAAAGTTGAAACTCAAAAAGATGGCCGTGAGACGGGGACGAATTGTTGAATTAGGCCGTTGTAGCTACTCGTTTTGTGCATCTAATTTTGACATCCAATAAAATCACCGTGGAAGCGGTTGGTGCTGAATTTAATGTGCATTTAAAGCCTCAGATCTAATCCTACCTTTCCCAACTACTAACTTCCGTAAATTTCCTCATAAATTCAGTGCTTCCTAATCCCCACCAGTCTCTTATTTATTCCAACATAATTATTCATTACGTCTTCTTACTACCTCTATTCCTGAAGTTTTATTTTGTGTCTCGTACAGCTGACACTAGTTGTATGAGGCTCCTTTTTGTCTCACAAATTTGTGGACCTCAATCTTACTTCTGGTTTCACAGAATTCTGGGTCCACAATACGAGAAAAAAGTCCCCTCCATCCTCTTCTTTTGGAGTTTGGTCCCCCTCTTTAACTAGTTTTCCAAAAGTATGGGATGAAATACGAAAAACGAAAATATAAAATTTCGGTTTAAATTACCTTGAGAAAAATTTAACCATAACTTGCTTGATTAATATATTGAAAAAATGAGTTTAAACGCTGTAATTAATAATCTAGAATTTTTACTCATTAAACATTTAATAAGCATGATACTTGTTTGATTAATAATTGAACAGGAAACTAAATTTAGAATTCTTTGCGAAATGAGATTTGAACTGTGAGTAAACTGAATTTCTTGTGAGCTTACACATCAGTTGAAGTCTCCCGCGAGTTCTCAGGCTCAGCCCCCTCTCTTATTTTTTACCTTTCACATCCTGTGGTCTTTAACTGCCAACTAATATCTGGCACCTAATTTTTTTCTTCTCTGATTTTATTTATAGGACTTCAATTTTATTATTTTGAATTTTAGAGAGCCGATTTTAAGTGGTAATAATCGGTTCTAAATTTAATATTTGTACATATTTAAAAAACTACTTAACACAAATAGAAAAAAGTTGGGCCGAACTATATATCCGAGCTTCTAGCTGCACCCGTGATTTTATTTAACGTTTTATTTACCTTTTTTAGTTCGGTTTATGACAAATACTTTATATAGCATAATAAAGTATGGCAGGTATCAAATCTATATAAACCACATAGACTTTCCCAAAGTTCACACCTCTCACATCTCAAAAGGCTCTGAGGTGTGAGGCCATGGCTTTTTCCTCCAGAATAGTCATCCATTGGAAAATCAGTCTCATCTTATTCACCATTACACTGATCTTTTCACCTTCACTCTCCTCTGCATCTTCCACTCCCAAAAAGTTCAAGAAAATCTATGCCTTTGGGGACTCTTACACAGACACAGGCAACACACACTCAGCCACTGGTCCAAGCTCTTTCAATTACGTATCAAGTCCTCCTTATGGACGCACATTTTTCCACCACCCAACCAATAGATATTCCGATGGTCGATTAGTCATCGATTTCGTGGCGGAGTCACTGTCATTGCCATTTTTGCCGCCTTATCGCAACCCAAAAGCGGATAAAACTTATGGTGTTAATTTTGCTGTTGCTGGTTCAACTGCTATAAGGCACAGATTCTTTGTGAGAAATAATCTCACGTTGAATGTTACTCCTCAATCACTTCAAACGCAGCTCACTTGGTTTAATAGGTTTTTGGAAAGTCAAGGTTGTAAAAACTCCACAACAACGCCAAAGCAGTGTGAGGCAGTATTTAGTGATGCATTGTTTTGGGTAGGTGAAATCGGTGCTAATGATTATGCGTATAGCTTTGGATCTTCTGTTTCACCCAACACTATTCAACATCTTGCCACCACAAGTGTCACCGGTTTTTTACAGGTAATTAAACTTATAAATACTAGTAATACATTCATTTAATGCTCTCATGAATAGTTCTACGTACTGATCTTATAGGCATCCGATTCATTATGTGATCACTTACATGCATCCCTTGCATGCTTTATTAGACGATGATTTTTCACATTGTAATGTCGTCCAACCGACAGCACCGACAAGAAAATTTCGGGATGAGTCTCGCTCATTGTTCTTTAATAGCTAGTTGTAGTGTCTGCCTACTTCATCTCAAACATTAATCGGATCTGATACATACATTTTATATGAATTGTTTGACCAACTCATTTAAAGATAGCATACTATTAATTTTTTTATTTTACTATGTCTCATCCATTCTAAAGTTTCTGGCCTTTCTACAAAATTTGGCCAAAACATCTCATATTAGAATCGGTTCTTTTACAGGTACTATTGAGCAAGGGAGCAAAATATGTAGTTGTTCAAGGTCTTCCTCCAACAGGTTGCTTAACATTGTCCATGTATTTGGCACCTGAGACTGACAGAGATGACATGGGATGTGTAGGAAGTGTAGACAAGCAAAGCAATCTCCACAACAGCATTATCCAAGCCAAATTAGATTCTTTCAGGAAACAATTCCCACAAGCTGTAATTATTTATGCAGATTATTGGAATGCATACACTACAGTAGTGAAAGGTGCCAATAAATATGGATTTAAGGAGCTGTTCAAAAGTTGCTGTGGATCTGGTGGTGGAAACTACAATTTTGACGTGTTTAACACTTGTGGTTCTCCTTCTGCAAGCTCTTGTCCTGATCCTTCTCAGTATATTAATTGGGATGGTGTTCATCTTACTGAAGCCATGTACAAAACTATGGCTAACTTGTTTCTTAATGGGACATTTTGTAAACCCTCATTTAGTTACTTGCTAGCCAAAAAACAGTAGTTTTGAAAGGAGTCACCAGTGAATTACTGAGCTAGAAGTTTCATATGGTATAGGAAAATGCTTTTAGGCCGTTCTTAATTTGTAGAGAGTCTGTTATTTGAGGAATTTCATATATAAAGTCAGATCTCACCTACTTTTTCGCAATATATAGAAGCATTTCATTTTTCACACTATTAGAAGCCGAAGTAGTATACTAGCATGTTTGATCATCTCAGTCAATTGAATACGACATACATAAACGATAAAAATACCCATACGAATGAAGCAAGCTATAGAAAAATTTCAAGAGAAATATACAAAGATACGTAGTACTTCTCCTATATATATATATATATATATATATATATATATTAAGCAACAACTGAACTTTCTACGAGTTTTTGATTTAATTAGCTTCAGGGAACTTTTCTCGTTGGTCCCGTCTTAATAGGACAGGTGACAGTCATTTGGCATATTGTTGCTTCTTTTCTTGGTAGTTGGTAGAGTAACCTAGAATATAGTTTACATGAACATCTCAATTACGTATTAAAAGTCAAGTTGCTTATTTAATCCTTGTATCTTTTTTCTTTAAAATAGACAAAAAAGAAAAAAGTTTCCTATTTACTTGATAGTTGGATTTGAAGTGTGTGATAATCACATCTAAAATTTTAAACTATTTGAAAAAGTATATTTTGTTTTTTTTGGTATTTGTCACGACCCGGATTTCCCACCATCGGGATCGTGATGGCGCCTACTCGTGGTAGTTAGGCAAGCCAACTTATTTACCTTTTCATCACTAAATAATTAATTTAACAATTTATAGCATCAATATAGAACATGAAATTTACTAAGAATAATAGCGAAAGTCTGATTTACAAATCTGAATCAAAACGCGGAACAGTTAATAATAGCCTCTACCCAAGATTTGGTGTCACATCACTCACGAACCACTAAGAATATACTAAATACAAAGGTCTGAAAGAAACATAGAAGCTGTCTGTCTCGAGACAAGGAGGCAACAGTCTAAAAGAGAGTATAAAGAAGAGACGCCGGGCCTGCGGATGCCTGCAAGCTACCTCGGGTCTCTCTGGACTGAAGGTGCGCCCCCGTGCTAATGCTGCAGCTGCTGCTCAATACCTGGACCTGTGCAAAAATGCACAAAGTGTAGCATCAGCACAACCGACCCCATGTGCTGGTAAGTGTCTAGCCTAACCCCGGCGAAGTAGTGGCGAGGCTAGACTGGATACCACATAAACCTGTGCAGTTATAAATATACATCGAAAACAAAATACTAAACCACTAGAAATATGGGAGGGGGGAACATGCTGTGGGGAGATAACAATAGCAACAGTAAATCCGAAGTATTCAATCTAGGTGCAACTTACAATTTAAAGCGAACAAGAAACTAATACCAACACTAACACATTTGCATCAACAACTGTTGCGGCGTGCAACCCGATCCACAATTGTCACTGTTGCGGCGTGCAACCCGATCCACAATTAACGTTGTCGCGGCGTGCAACCCGATCCACAATTAACGTTGTTGCGGCGTGCAACCCGATCCACAATTAACGTTGTTGCGGCGTGCAACCCGATCCACAATTAACATTGTTGCGGCGTGCAACCCGATCCACAATTAACATTGTTGCGGCGTGCAACCCGATCCATAATGTATACCTCTCAACCTTGCTCAAACAACAGTCACAAATAAAGGGCAAGGGAATAAACAAGTATTTGGAAAGAAATCCCAACAAGAATACATAAACAACCAATAACAGCCATGCAAGAGTAATCGTTATTTCTCTTTTTCTTTCATTTTCATATCCTAACTCTCATTAGCACTCGTGTCAAGCTCTAAGGCATTTCTCAGTTCACATACCCTTACCATTTGTATTTCAGACCGAGCCAATGCTCCACGAAGTTCCACAATCACAATATCTTTCACAAGGTGTTTACCACGTATAGAAGCCATTAATAGCATGGAAAGCAAAACAACATCCAAACAACTCACATATAAGGACTCACGGTCATGCTAGACCCCAATGTATAGGAACTCGTCACCATACCTATACATCGTACTCGATCATTTAGCAATTAGCAAACAAGACTCGACTCCTATTCCCTCAAGCTAGGGTTAAACCAAACACTTACCTCAACTTCCACGGCCAATACAATCCTCCACAACCGCTTTCCCTCTCGAATTCGGCTCCAACTCGACCAAATCTATGCAGTAAGGACTTCATGATATCAATATGTGCTAGACAAATCAAACCCAATGACTAATTATAGCTTTTTCATCAATTTACCCCAAAAGGTCAAAAATGCCCCCGGGCCCACATGGTCAAAATTCGAGGTTCGAACCAAAACCCGTTTACCCATTCACCCATGAACTCAAATATGTAAGTTATTTTGGAATCGGACCCCGAATTGAGGTCCAAAACCCCCAATTTTAGAAAACCTAGGTTCTACCCTAAATTCCCAATTTCCCCATTAAAATCTTTGTTTTGAAGTTGAAATTATGTTTAAGGATGTTAAGGAGTAAAGAAAATCAGTTAGAAAACACTTACCAATCGTTTTGCAGAAGTGGAATCGTTTGGAAAATCGCCTCCTAATGTTTTGGGTTTTGAAAAAGTGAAAAATGACTGAAAATCCCGACTTTATATCCTATGCTGAAGACTGGCGCGGACCGCACAAAAATGCACCGCGGCCGCGCCGAGGAAGGAAAGAAAAATGACTCTCTGAATCTACCCAGCGCGGACTGCACTGATTTGGTGCGCGGCCGCCCTGGTTGAATGGACCCAAGACCCACTCTCTGAATCTCCCAGCGCGGACCGCACTGATTTGGTGCGCGGTCGCGCTGGTTGTCCTAGACTTTACTGGCCCTCTGAACCTAGCCACGCGGACCGCGCAAGAACGCACCACGGCCGTGCGGCTTCCAGCGCGGACCGCGCGGGAATGGCCGCGGCCGCGCTGGGGCCTGCAACACCTGAACCTGCAATCAACTGATATTTCTAGCCTAAGACCTCCCGGGACCTACTCAAAACTCACCCGAGCTCTCGGGGCTCCAAACCGAACATACATATAAACTCAAAAACATCCTACGGACTCATCCGTGCGATCAAATCGCCCAAACAACATCATAATCATCAAATTGGGCCTCGAGACCCAGGATTTCCTTCCAATTTTCATAAAACATCAAGTTTACTGCTTCAAGCTCAAAACACGTCAAATGACGTCCAAATCTTACCAAACTTCACATCAATTGCTTAACTCATATTTAAGACTCGTGCCGGGCGTCGGAACCAAAATACGAGCCCAACAGCACCGTCTTCTAAACAAATAACACTTTCTAATTTTTTAATTATTATCAGAAAATAATTTCACACAAAAATTCATTCCTCGGACTCGGGACCTCGGAATTTGATCCCGAGCACACCCCCAAGTCTCATATTTTCTTACGGACCCTCCGGGACTGTCGAATCACGAGTCCGGGTCCGTTTGCCCAAAACGTTGACCGAAGTCAAACTTAATCAATTAAAACATCAGAATTTATTATTTTTCTCACAAATTCATATTTAAACTTTTCCGGCTACGCGCCCGGACTGCGCGCACAACTCGAGGCAACCCCAAATGAGGTTTTCAGGGCCTCAGAAGTACAGAGGGAGTAGGAATACAGGTGATGACCCCTTCGGATCGTCACAGTATTTGAAGTGTGTGATAATCACATATTATTGTTTCATTACGCATTATTTTTTATGAGCCAAGCAACAGAGGTGGCTCAATGGTGTTGGAGGCCTAAAGAAAAGTTATAATAAGAGGCTTTAAACTTGTTTAATAATTTTAGATATTTTTGTTTAAAGTTTATTTTTACTTTTTGAGATGCAATTTGTTCTTGATGATGTAACCAACTCATTTAATCCTTGTTGAAACATTACTAACTTTTGATAAGATTTTATTAAGTTTAATTTTGAATTTCTTTCCTCATGGCCGTCAACGTAACTCATTGCTCCATTTAGATTGTCAATTCCAATCAATTGGGCAGTACATTAGGATTTAGGAAGACTTGGAAATAATCAAGTATGGCGTCTGCTCTAGCTTTAAGCAGTAGCCGAACAAATCTGATTTTCTTGCTTCTTTCGCTGCTTGTTCTGTCAAACATACTTGTGGGCGTGAAACCTGCAGAGAGCAGCTTCCTGACATACAATTGTCCAACCACTAGTAACGACTATACAGAAGGAAGCAAGTTTCAGTCAAATCTTTATCGCTTGCTGTACAGACAACTATACAATAACGCACTACTAGAAATTCGGAAAAAAACGATCAAAACTTAGCGACCAAAGTTGGTCTGTGAGAAAAAGCGACCAAAGTTGGTCGCTAAACTAGCGAAAATAATAAAATAAATAAAAGAAACACAATAGCGACCAAGATTGGTCGCCAATTGGTCGCTATAATAGTCAAAATATTGACTGGACTGGTCAAACTTTCTTGGTCAAACATTTACTGAGATTAGCGACCAATGTTGGTCGCTCACGTGGGACCCACTATTATTATTTTAAAAAAATTATAAAATATAAATATATATAATATAAAAATTGCGACCAACGTTGGTCGNAGGTAGGAGTTTAACATTTTCTAAGTAGATAAAAGAAGAGGTAATAGAGGAATTCTATACTTCAATTTCCAAGAGGAAAAGGAGTTTAATTGGGAGTGACAAGGGTGATGGTGACGGAATGTTCCCCGCCGGTCATGGCAGTTCCCATAAAACGGGGATCATAAGATTCTATGATAACAAAGATTATAGGAAGCTTTGTTCTCAACTTTCTTCCAAGTCTGAAGAGTACAGGCTTAATGAGATATTGGTGATATATTCTTCGGATTCAGGCAATGCTTTGACTGACAAAAGTATGGAACTACTACTCAAAAGAATTAAAGCTAAAATGTTTTTCAGCATCCTTCTCTACCAAGAAAAACGTTTTAGCTTTAATTCTTTTGAGTAGTAGTTCCATACTTTTGTCAATCGAATCATTGTCTGAATCCGAATAATATATCACGAATATCTCATTAAGCGTGTACGGTTCAGACTTAGAAGAAAGTTGAGAACAAAGCTTCCTATAATCTTTGTTATCATAGAGTCTTATGATCCCCGTTTTATGGGAACTGCCATGACCGACGGGAAACATTCCGTCACCATCACCCTTGTCACTCTCAATTAAACTTTTTTTCTTCTTGGAAAATGAAGTACAGAATTCCTCTATAATCTTTCTTTTATCTACTTAGAAAATGTTAAAATTCCTGCCTACACCATCACTATTTGAAACACATGCCATTGCAGTCTCAACATCATTGTCGCTAACAAGAACAACTATTGATCAAAAGACACACCCCGTCAGCTACTGTATCCAAGTTATTCTCTGTATCCAAGTTCATCCCGAGTAATAGTACCACGAGGATAATCACCAAAGCCACCGGACAGCTTTACGATGCCAATGAAGCAAGATGAGCTATTCAATGAAACTCGTACTGTAAAGAAGAAGAAAGAGACTGATTCAGAAAGGTGGGTAGAGCGTCGAGCCTCGACTATACATGTAAGTTTTTTAGTTTTCATTAAGTATTTTGATTTACTTTTATATAAATTTTGAAATATTAATTCAATATAATTTTTCTTATAGGTTCGCTTCACAGCTGATGTGGGGGAATTCATACGCAGTCAGCCACCAAACAAGTCGGCCGAGGCAATCCAACTTTCGAACGAGGATGCTAAGAGAACTACTTTATATACTTTGAACTAGACAATAGGACTAGTTTTTGAATGAACTTGTAATAAACGTTAACTTAATTTTGTTAGCTTAATGTTTTGGTTTTATTGATCTTTATATTTTGTTGCTTTTTAGTGTTGTTGTTGTTGTTGGCATAAAAATGCCTGTTTAGGATATTTGGTAAGCTGGCAGGTGGTGTAATTGCCAAAAGTGGCAGTTCCTGCCAGCAATATACCAAAAATAGCGACCAACTTTGGTCGATACTTGGTCGGTTTTCTATATAAAAAATAATTTTCTGGGAAATAGCGACCAAGGTTGGTCGCTATCTTCCAGAAATAGTTAATTTTCTGGAAATATAGAGACCAAGGTTGGTCGCTTTTAAGTTAAAAAAAATTAATTCATATAGTTTGCGACCAAGTTTGGTCGATATTTTAAAAATAAATTAAAAATATTTATACTATAGCGACCAACCTTGGTCGCTATTTTCCAGATTTTAAACTATAATATTTTGTTTACAGACCAGAGTTGGTCGCTATATTATGGTTAATAATAAATATAAAAAAACGTAATTTACATAAAGAGACCAACTTTGGTCGCAAAATTTATAATATTAAAATATTGTGGCGACCAATGTTGGTTGCTATAGTCAGTACCCGGAATATTTGGTCCCTTTACTTTGGGGACCAAAGTTGGTCGCTAATTAGCGACCAATTCTGGTTCCTAAGGTAAAGGGACCAGCTTAATATGGACCATGCGTGTTTGGTCGCTTTTTGGCCAATAAGCGACCAACTTTGGTCGCTTTTTTCCGGAATTCTAGTAGTGACAGTAGCAATTTCATCTATGCAAAAGCCAGTGAAGGAGAAGACCCTGATAAAGTACATGGAGTATTCCTCTGTAGGGGAGACGTTGCACCTAAAGACTGCCAAAACTGCATTGACGAGGCACCTGACCAGATCTTGAGCGTATGTGCTCTCAAGAAACAGGCAATTATATGGTATGATCAGTGTTTGATCCGCTATTCTAATGTATCTTTTGTCTCCACCTTGGACTACTCGGATTATGTTATCTCATTTAACACACAAAACGTTTCACGGCCAGAACAATTTAAGGGGATTTTGGATGCAATGTTTGATAACCTTACCTTTCAAGCTACTTCAGTCAATCCCAACCTTAAATATGCTGCAAATTCTGCTGACATTCATGACCCGCTTCAAAAGTTGTATGGCATGGTGCAGTGTCTACCTGATTTGTCAGCTGCAGATTGTCGCGCTTGCCTGAATCACTCTCGTTCTGCAATCAGTACTCCACTCTCTGACGCCAGATTACCACGCGGAGGCAGAGTTCTATATGCAAGCTGCAATATAAGGTATGAGCTATATCTGTTCTTAAATCCAGGTGGACGGGGTCCGGGAGCACCACAGCCATCGACCAGCCACCAGGGTAACAAGGATAAAGGTAATCCTGGTGGACGAGCACCACAGCCATCGACCAGCCACCAGGGTAACGAGGATAAAGGTAAGTATAAGATCTTCTCGTCCACTTGATAAGTTAGTTGCACGCAGTCATTTTATTTCCAGAGGTTGTTTGTGAAGCCAAATATCCTAAGAAAAGAAAGCAATTTCCCAGAGAATCTATATGGAGGCACCTATTTTCCCTGTCTTTCACATTAAACTAATGGCTTCAAATTCATATAAAAAGCTTTACAATCCTAATCATATTATACTACATTTGCTCCATTTTAAATGTCATGACACACATAAATTTAAGAAAATCATTTATTAATAACATCAATCATTAAAAGGTTGCTTGACTGAACTAAGCTTTGTCGCCCCTCAAAGTGAAGGGCAATCGTCACGTCTCCAACTTGCAGTATTGAAATGTCATAAAAGAATGAAGAATATGGCTCTTTGCTAGAGAGTGCAGGTTTGACATAAATATCGATAATGCTCTCTAAATTTAGCTGTTTGACAATGAGTTGCATATTCCCTTCACCATTTCAGAAAATTGTAGATGTTTACCGTGAAAATGGTAACGACAATTAAATTTGTAAAATGGGATTCTAAAAATACGTGATCTATTCCCGAGCTAGTTGTTAGAGCAGTTGATGCTAATAGTATGGAATTTAACGATGGAGCGCGAGCTAGAACGAGATGATGATCGAACCGAAGGGCCTGCTGCCCGGATATAGGTCTGGCCGATGGGGACTTCGGGGTCGACTTCTGGGTCGAACTCGAGCTATCGGGGATAGTCGAGGATGGGATAACAGTTGAGGATATAATTAAGCAAGGCTCTTTATAACCAAAACTAAGTTATATGATAAAGAACAGGTATAAAGGCGATGGATATCGAGGTATCCTCGGACCAGTGAGAGCGAATAAGAGAGAGAGAGAGAGAGAGAGAGAGAGAGAGAGAGAGAGAGAGAGAGAGATAGAGAGAGAGAGAGATAGAGAGAGAGAGATTATTGCACTTGTGGAGAAATGGAGCAACATTAGTTCCTTACAAAGTAATGGGGATCCCCTTTATATAAGAGGGGAATCTGTTATGATACAGAACGCGTTAATCATAAAGGTCTGGAGATAAGGCTGCTAGACATGACATCTCAAAAATAGGCCCCGGATTGACCAACCATGTCAGGTCAAGCCGAGGGCCTTGGGAACCCCCCCCCCCACCCCATAGGTCATAGCTTGCTGTACTTGTCAGAATACGATATTCTTCAGACCGATGTGTTTATGTCGAGCCTCGAGGATGAATCTCAACCTTGACTTCGAGCTTCGATGGGAATGACCGCGAGATGGTTCTACGATAGGGGGAATCAGGCCCCCGGATTCGCTGTATACAGATAGTCTCCGCGTTTCTTAGAGTGAAGGCGACGAGAAACGATAAGAAACGGTTCAAAATCCCTGCTTCTTCTGATGTTCTTGGATACAAGGTATTAAGGCGCGTTTCATGCACCATTCTTGCAGATTTCGGCATTGACTGCGGCGGTTGGCTTCCTTCAATATACCCAGGATGCTTTTATAAATACTTGTCTCTCCTCTTTTAGATTCCTTTTTGTGTTAAAAACCCCTAGTGAGGTTTGTTTCCCCTTGTTCTCATTCCTTCCCAGGGACTCAACCCCCCCATTTCTTCTTTCCCTAGATTTCACCAAGGATGACGAATATTACAACTTCTTCTTCCCAGGAGGCTGCGGTCTCATCCTCTTCATTTTTCTCTCGGGGTGAAGTGGCTACCCCCCCCCCCCTCCCTGTGCTGAGGAGTGCGTTTCGGGACCTTTTGTGATGACCTCCGATTTTAGGGTCGAGAGGCCCTCCTCGAAGTCAGGGTGCCGTGAGCCCGTGACTCGGTATATTAGTTCTATAATGGACATCAAAAGAGTGAAGGCAGACTGCTGCTGGGGAGATTCCGTGCTTGTGGAGATCCACGCTCGGGGTGAAGATATTACGGCTCACAAAGCCGTCTTTCTGAGTGTGTATACCTATCCATTTTCTTTGGGGCCGGTGGGGTCGTCCTTACCCCAAATTGACCTCGTGATTCTTGACTTTTGCCGGAGTTACCACGTGACCCTAAGTCAACTCCACCCTTCGTTCTGGCGCGTGGTTTATATGATCAGGCATTATTCAAGCATGATAGAGGGAATGCCCTTCACCTTAAACCATTTGATCTGGATGTATTGTTAGGTGTTTGCCATAGTTTTCTTACCATATTTGGTTTTCCTATCTCTTGAAGGAAGAGGGCAATATAATTATCTTAACTGGGTTTTCCTTTTTGTAAAAGGAAATTATAAATCTCCAATATTTGGCTAGTCCTTTTTCTTGTAGGAAAAGGTTTGGACTTCTATAAATTGAGGATCCTTCCTTCACATTCAGTAGCATCCACAATGTAGCC